TTTAGAAATGTTAGCTAGGAAAGAGGCAGCCAGAAAGGTTGTAAGTGGGATCTGTTGCCATGTGGGTTTGAGAGCCGGTGCAGTGAAAAGCTTCAGGTGCTCTTGAGCGTTTTGGCTCCAGCCTCCACTGGGATTGGAGCTTGCTAAACACTCAAACTGAAGGACAGGCAGGATGAGGCCTTGTGGTCCATGGACTACCATCTAGCCGCAGCTTCACCTTCTGTGCTGGTGCCAAAGGTCATAGTGTGGTGGCAGCCTCCTCTTTACAGTCTTTGGGATGCAGCAGATCACCCATGCAGGAACAGAAAGCCTGGGTGGAAGATGCCCTGTCAGGACAGGACATCTACACCAAGGGTGGTTCTGCATGCTTCCTCTTCCAACACAACTAACTGCAGGCTGCATAGTAAGCTTTTTGTTACTGAGTCAAGAACTATATGCAAAAAACGTGAAATGTTCTAAAGTGTAATCAATACGCTGTATATATTCACACATGAGCATGCAGCCCAAACGTTTCCATGACCATACGTTAACTGTAGCTGGATCTTCACTGTCTTTGGAGTTGAACTTGAAGTGTCTTTCTAGTATAGATGCAGAGTCTTCCCAAAATTGTATCAGTGCTCTGGTTGGCATCTGGGAACGTGGTTGCTGCAAAAGTTTGTCTGAATTTTTCTATGTACCTTTGCTGACATCAGAAAACTATTGTATTTTTTTCCCCCCAAACCCCATCTATATTTATCCTAGGTTGACAGAAGTAACATATATGCAGAGATGTGTACGCATTAGGCTTCAGCCCATAAGGACCCAAGCTACCAAGATCAGTCCCTTATTTGTAACCTCTTCTTGAGGTGACTATTTAGGAAACTGTTCTTGTCTCATCTATGTATGTACTTTTATTCTCAAGTATTGCAGTTCTCCCTCTATCAGACTTCCTAGGTTTTTAAAGGGAGGTAGAAATGCACAGGAGATTTTGAATGTTACTTGAATATTGTGCCTTTCTTTGTGTTGTGGGTTCCCTCCCCCCCTACCTTCCCCTCCCTATACTGAGAATAAAATCATTAAAATCAATAGAAACAAATTAAATTAATTCTGCATAAGAAAATGTTTTTAGTATTTTTTTCAGACAATACTTTACTGTTCCTTTGCTGTGACATCAATTTTCATCAGTGAAGAACTGTATAATTGGCTTAATGGGTATTTTATATCCTATCTGTTTCCAGGGGGAGTTTCCTAGATGATGGTCAAGGGCTGTGATATTCCAAAGGGATATATATGTGTCATTTGTTTTTCCAATCTAACAATGCCTGGTCTTAACATAGAAAAAATCTTTCTGAGGAAGAATACAATATATGCATAGATCAGCCAAAAAACTCTACCTCTTCCTTATGCTGAGCTGACAGTATCATAATTAGAGTGTATGCGGTAAATATTTATTAGTAACAAGAGTTTTAAGGCATTATGGTTGATTTTCTTCAATGGGAAAGTATATGCCATTCATATTTTTTAAATTCTTATTTAAAATATTATCTTTAACATTTACTGACAAGGTAGTTTCACGTCTTGATTTGTTTTGAATAAAGTGCTAAATGTTATTTCTGAGAGGACAAATGATGAGAGTATGGACAGTCCAGCCAAGTTTCAAGCACTTAAGAGGCAGCTGCTGGATGACTGAAACAGTATTGACTCACAGATGTAACAGAAACTTCTCTGATTCGCAGTAAGATCATGTGGGAGCCACGAGAGAGTTAGGCAGAGTTCCATTATAAAATAATTGTGCAGGGATGGATACATACATGAAAAGTTGGTGCTCTTTGAAGCAGCAACTACATATGGGTGCACTTGGGCCCAAATGAAATCTGTGGGAAATAGGTAAAATCAGGGGCTTTGGGTTGTTCTGTTTGTTTGTCTTCTTAGAAAAAATATTTTTTTTCTCCCAAAGGACAAGTTATTAAACATCAGAGGATTAAGTAACATACAGATGTACTGAAACAGGGTATAATGAACAAAATTGTCTGACCCTCTTGATTACTGTTCATCTCTTGGGGTTATCTTATGTTCTCAGAGAGCATTATTGTTCTGCATCAAAAACTGCTGTATGCATATGGTCTTCAACTTCATCTGATTCAGTGTGGATGATGGTTTTAAGGCTTTGTTATATGATTAGAAAATTAAAACAGTTCTCTAAACTCCTGCTTAGTCCAAATTTTTCAAAATAAATGTCAATTAAAGTCTTGTTGCTGTGATGTCAGCAACATCTGAAAGAGTATGAGGAGATTACACTCTCTAGAGCAGGTTCAGAGCCAAAAGGTTTCTCCCATTGAATTCACCATTAGCAGGAGGGCTTTGCAGAAGCTGAGGGACTTGTTTTACTGTACACCCATGTTCAGCAGCAACAGAATACTCTGCAGGTTTCATGCTGATGGTTGAGCTTTTATGTTCTGATGATTTATGGGGTGACGGGAGGTGGGAAGACAAGGCTTTCCATCAGACTAGTGGGGAACATGTCATTAGAAAAGACTGCCATGCACCTTTTATTTTCTGTGGACATCTGTAAAATAAATATTTAGTTGGAAATTCTTAAAGAACATATACTCCATAAGTTCCACAAGGTGATTCCTAGTATGCAATAACAAACCTCCTCCCTACCTACTCCTTGCAATTAAATTGATGATTTGGAGAAAAAAAAAAAAAAAAAGTTCTTCCTATTTTTTGTGTCAGATAGCTGCAGAAAAAGCATAGTGCAAACAAACACTAATTTGTTCTCCTTTCAAAGCTGGGAAACTTTTACGGCGAATTCCTGAAGAGTATGTACCAGTGACAGCCAAATGGTATTTTTCCAGAGTATGGAACGTGACTTACTAATGTTGCTCTTCAGCAAAATCAGCATTGAAAGGTCGGACATCATCTAAAAGGGTTTACTAGCAGACAACCAGACACACAAGGATGTATCTAGTTGGGATTCGGTGAACTAGCTGGATTAAAATAAGGAAGAAAATACCTCAGAGTGGTGAGGGATATACTGATGAAGTGTCTGGAAGTTACTGTGATTTTCTCAACCTCTGAGATTTTACTAAGAGTCTTATACACAACATTTAATTTAAAGCTGCAGTTTCTGGATACCATCTGCAGATAAGCCATTCCATGAGATCTTCAGTTTTTGCCTTCAGTTTCTCACATTTGTGGGTACAGAAGAAAAACCATGCAAGCATGACTTAAGTGCATATTAAAAAGCTTAAAGACAGGCTTTTAAAAATACTCTTAGGATCTTTGGACCAGTACTTAACTGCTTGGTAAGCTTAACTTGGTTTTGGTTTTGTTTTGTTTTTTTTTTTAACATTTGACATTGGCAGCAGACATCAGACCTCACTCTAGAGGTTGATACTGGTTTCATGCAGAATGTATAGCCCTGTAGTTCATAATACATGTAGCTGTATTTGCAGTATGGTTCTAATTTTCAGAAATGCGTAGGGTACTTGCTAGCATGTGGCTATATCTGAGATCAAAGCTGAGCCTTTCGTTTGTTACTGAAGCAGGATTCAGTCTTTGCAGCTCAGGAAGTTCCTGATGGCATGTCAAGATGGCAGGAAAATGCAGTGGCTAATGGTTAGAATGTTATATTAAAGGTAATTTTTATTTGGCACACTGTAAGCAATATGGTAATTGGTGACTTACAAAGACATTGTGAAGAAAATAACACCTTTTATTATGCAAGGCCTCTTTGAAGAAAGGACTTTGATTACAGTTACGTTTAGCCTAGTTAATGTTTAGTGCTTTATTTCATGTAGAAGAATAAACTACCAGCTTTCAACATACAGGAATGTTTACAGGGATCTATACTAAGTATAGCTATTGTTTGATGTAAAAACCAGTCATAACTGGGTGAACAAGGTGAAGGATGATTCTGAAAATGGCACAAATCATTTGACTTTGTTAAGAGAAAAGGTGACTGAGAAGTCTAACAACAAAAGGAAAGGATGACACGACAGGAGTCAAAATTCAGTAGTGACAGTTGGATGCTAATTTACATTGACAAGAGTAGTTTGATTTGCTAATAAATATTGCTGAGTTCTATTTGTTGATAATATCAAGGCAGAGCTATAGTCAATGAAATTGTAAGTAAGATAGCTGGAGCTGTGTTATGCAGTTAACCTGTCAAACACAATGCCACAAGATACGACTTAACCCTGGTGCCTAGAAGGAATCAAGAAAGGCTCAATGATGAGTACCTAATCAATTACACATTTTGTGTAATGTTAATATCCACTTATATCCTGTAGAGTGCCTGGAATGAATTAGTAACTTAGAGGGAAAAGGAAGGTGTTTCCACAGATGAGTATTTTCTACTCCGATGTTTTATACAGACACTGACAATTTTCTGAGACTGTGGAATGGTCAAATCATTGAGCTGATCCAATATTATAATTTTAAGTTGGAGACAACAAAAACCTACCTCTATTTATTCATATTGGTGTTTAGGAATAATCAGTAAGATATTTTGATTGTTTCGAGCAAAGCTGTCAAATATATTTGAGTAGACTAATGATAAGAAGTAACATAAAATTAAAGTACCACAAAATTAATTGCAAAAAATGCACAAATAGATAAATTTACAAATATAATAAGAAAACTCTGGTAGAGAAGGGGTCCTATGTAAATACATTTGCATTTTCTCTCCAAATAAGAATTGAAAAATGAGAAGACAGTAATATTAATTATTTGTGTGTATACATGTTTCTTGTAGTTTTCAGTTACTAGTAGGACACTGTGCCTTGGAAATTGAATCGCTGTGGAGTATTTTAGGAGGTTAAGAATTATGTTGTCCAACCCCCAAATAAGTTAGTAGGGTAGAGTGATGCTACATGTGATTTTGGCTTCCGTGTTTATCTTAGTATGCATTCTTAATGTCATGTCCTTTCCCCAATTATAAGTTGACTGCATTTTCTTATCCTAACTAAAATACATCTTGATCTCTAATTTTACGCTTTTTTTGTTTTGTTTTCCAGTTTAAAAGAATGCTCAACCGGGAGTTAACCCACCTGTCTGAAATGAGCAGGTCAGGCAATCAGGTCTCAGAATATATATCGAACACGTTCTTAGGTAAGACTGTGATGGTAGTTAACTTTTTTGTTTTTCGGTGTTTTTTATTTTTTTCCCTCTCTCTCTGGGCTGTGATAGAGCTTAAATGCCAGTAGCTTTCCATACTAATTTCTGTTTTCAGACACTGTACATTTAATATCTCAGTCTACAGAGCAGAGAGATCATGTTAGATCTATTTCCTCACAGCTCAATTTGAGTTTCCCTTTGTGTGCAATTATGGATAGTTATATACATATGTTAATGTAACATAAGTACCACTATATTGCTACTGTAGTAAGAAATTAATATATAATGAATTAATTCTATATTAAAAAGGATTCTTTTTCCCTTATGAAAGTTACTGTGAAGAGGTTTCTGTGTGCTGGAAGCACAAGCACAAGTGATATCATAAAATCTTGCATCAGACAGTTCTGATGCTTTGATATTCCCTGACTGCATGTGAGCAGGTGGATGAACATGACTAAGTCAACATCTGAACAGACTGCTTCCAGGAGAATTTGTGTGGCTCAGGAGCTTGCATGGTGGGATGCAAGCATGAAAAAAAAACAACATTTATTATTACAAAGGGTATGGTTCCTCCTCTATGGCTTTGCAGGATGATGTTTGCTTTATTTTTCTAAAACTGGTGAAAGTGAATAAAACTTAGTTGCATAGGGTTGATTTTGAATATGAAGGTAATATACCAATCTTAAACGTGTTTTGAGAAAAGCACCATTGGTTCATAAAGATTGTATATAAAGGGAGGCACAGCTGAATACATCTACATTAGGATAACAAGTACCGTAAATGTGCCAGTCACACATGATAAGATACCTCTCGTTTTACTTATGTGAGATACCATAACTGGTGCTTTTTGTTTTTTGAGAGAAGTGTTTTTTTAAAAGTACCTTTTATCCTGCTTGTTACCATATCCTAAATGGATCACTTAATGGGTCTGTTCAGTTTACCCATGATTGCAGTAGCATGCCTGAGTGCTGTGACACATCACGGTTTCAGACAATAAGAAAGGGACGAGCATCTGTCATGGAGAAGAAATATTGCACAGCTTCAGGAGCCCTGAAAGTCACAGTGTACTGTTGCCTGAGAAGATGACCCACTTAGGTCGAAAAGACTGAGATAACAGTTTCTGCTAGCTTTTACTTGAAAATTGAAGGCTCATTTTGTCAGGGTAAAGCAATGCATCTGTCAGCCTTTCACATGAGACCTTGGTCTTGAGCAGAAAAAAGGCTGGAAAGGCAGTCATGTCTAAGTTACTGAGCCATGGGTGCTGTTCTTTGGCTGCATGAAAAACTAGATAGGATACTTAAAATTGTAGGTACGAGAGGAATACAAAAGGGGAAACACCTCATCTACAGAATTACTGCTTAAATGAAGTATTTGCAGAATATGCAGTTGAAGTATATAGGTTATGAGCAACAATGTGAAGAGGGAAAAGATTATTTCCATAAAAAATTTTAATGAGTCTAGTTAATTTTTTTTTAGTACATAATCTATCTCCTGAACTTCTACAGATTTTCTCACATTTGAAAGTTAAGAACGTGTCATGAGAAAACAGTTTTTTCTGTTCTTATTTGTCAAAAAAAAAAAATAGACTTTCCCCACGTAGGGCTGTATGACATGTAAAGTTACTCATAATGACAACAGATATATATCCTTGTGTAAGAATAAGGCTCCTACACTGAGTATAATGATATGCAAGGTTATTATTTTTCAGTGTCATTAACCTGTTTACATGTGAATGGAAAATGTAAGAGAACCTGTCAATGAGAGTAACACAGCCAGGGTCAAAATGGCAAGCTGTCTTTCTGGATGTTCAGATGGGTGCAGGATCCTTTGCCCTGTGTGCTTGTAGTTACAAAAGCAGAGGCAGTCCCATGGAATTCCTCTGGAGATCTAAAGTCGTTCAGACAGACACTTCCTTTCACTTGAGTTAGTCTGACAGCTTGGCTTATGCACCTCTCCTTGATGGGTCTAAACTTTGTGCATATGACCAAAACCATAAACATCAAGGCATGAACACAAGTCACTGCTCCTCATCTGTTACCGGTTTGCACCAGCCAAGAGCTGCAGCGTTCCACCTCCCCCTTTTCTTCATTGTCTGTATGAGGAAGGTGGTGAAGTATGGCAAGGGCAGTCAGGGAACTCGGTGCCACAGGATAGAGCTTGGTGACATTTCCACAGTATCCTCTTCGTTCTGATTTGTTTGGAATTTGAGGTGTTGAGTAAATGCAGCTGCTAAGGGGTAATTAAAAAAAAAAAAAAAAAAAAAAAAAAAAGGCAAATGGGAAAAAGAGGAAGAAAGTGAAGAAGCAAACACAACAACAATCTGGTAATTAGAAATGGACTGACTTACTCTGGTTGGGAGGTGCAGAAATGGACTACATGGCTGGTGTGAACTGCCTCTACATCAAAAGTGCTTGTAGAGGTGGCTGGCAAAAGGCTTTGAGTTGTATAAAGTCTTAACACAAACAGGACCAGACCTCAGATATTAGGTCCTTTGAGTCCTGAAAAGGTTTACATGAGATACTGTCTTGATTGGGTTTGAAATCCAATTTCAGAGAGTGTTTTTTCTGGAAAAGAAGAAATTTTAAATTTTGTTGCAAAATGGAAGTTTAGATTTCTGTTCAGTTGTAATAACGTTTTTATAATGAAAGGATCGATCCTCTCTCTAGCACTAGGGGTGCAGGAGAAGTGGAAATCAGACAGTCACAAGTCACATTTAAAACCAGTTCAGAAATTATGATGCAATTTTTGAAACAGAGATCTGCTACTGAGATATAGGTCTATGTTTATCTTTCACATTTTTACTGCTCTTGATAGAAAGTATCTGTTGCAAAATCTTCGAACATAAAAATAAAAAAAGTTTTGTTAAGAATTACAGTATGCATAAGATGCAACTCAACAGTGAATTTTGTAATACTTGTAATTCCTTTAAAAATTATTCTTGCTTTCTTCATTCTTTTGAAGACAAACAACATGAAGTTGAAATACCTTCTCCAACACAAAAAGAGAAAGAGAAAAAGAAGAGGCCAATGTCTCAGATCAGTGGAGTCAAAAAGCTGATGCACAGCTCCAGCCTAACTAATTCCAGTATTCCAAGATTCGGAGTTAAAACAGACCAAGAAGATGTTCTTGCCAAGGTAGAGAATATATGAATCCTTGAATTTAAAATATTGAATTAAAATAGAGGGTGGACTTGTCAGTATTACTCCATCCTCTGCTTATAACCATTGATTTCAAGCTGTAACACCAAAGGCTGGTCTTACTTAAAATAATGTAAGTTTGGTCAAGTGGAAGAATAACAAGTAAAATTAGAATCAGGCTATAAGAGTTAATTTTCATGTAACAGGATTTCATCCAGAGGTGGAATTTAAATTAGCATTTGTGTCTGCATTAATAGAGCTGCTTATTTATAAATAATATCTGAAGAATAAAGAGTAAACATACCACATACTGTGACAGGAGTGAAAATCCGTAACTGCCCTATGTGTTTTGAAAATGCACAACTGGTATTTATAGCATTAGAACTATCCTTCCAGGTCTTGTCTTTAGCTGTATCATTTTACATACATCGTTTGTGGTTTTTCCTATGATTTTTGCACCAGCAGCTAACTAGTTGAAAATAATCTAAAACTGACAAAAGTGATTATTAATTTAATTATAAAGTTTTTCATTTTGAAATATGCATATCCTTATGTTTTCAGGAATCTCCACACTTTATTTGAAGAGTGTTTCTGAGAACCAGGGACCAGCAGCAGAACGACAGCATCTCTGGAGCTTTCCTCCTTGCTGAACTCTGCTGTCACTGGGCAGTGGGATAGCAGTGTGTCAGTTCAGCTCATTCAAGATACTGTAGCATTTTTCCCTCTAGAACAATTAATTTAGGAGGCACTTTTTCCTGCTTAGTGAATTAAAATCTCAAAAGTTGGTGGCTGCAAATTCAAATATTGGAAGAATAGTAGCAGCAGCTTTACACCTTCCAGAGTTTAGCACATAACTTTCACAGTGGCAAGGTTCTGAATCTTCATGAGTCTGCTGTTTGTAGCTGTTTCAATCAAAAATCACTGTAATGTATGTGCTAGGTTTCAATGTCTTCTTTGCTTGATTGTGCTTTAGGAACTTGAAGATGTGAACAAATGGGGCCTCCAGGTTTTCAGAGTAGCAGAGTTATCTGGAAACAGACCTTTGACTGTCATCATGCACACCATTTTTCAGGCAAGTAGCAGCAGCCATGCCGCTTTTTGCTTATCTTAGAGATTTTTTTCTGCTTTGTACTCTTTAATTGTTTCTCTTTTCCTTTTTTAGGAACGAGACTTGTTAAAAACATTTAAGATTCCAGTAGATACTTTAATAACTTACTTGATGACCCTGGAAGACCATTACCATGCAGATGTGGCATATCACAATAACATACATGCTGCAGATGTTGTTCAGTCAACCCATGTCTTGCTGTCAACCCCAGCATTAGAGGTAAAACTACACTGAGGTGGGAAGGAGGCAGGCATGAGAGAAAGGGACATGCTAAGGCTCTACTAAACCAAATATTAAAGATCTTCATTTCTGCAGTATTTTTAAAATAAATACTAACGTTTCTTTTATGAATTCTGCTTTCTTAAAGATATTTTGCGAGCATAAAAGCTTACTTATATGTAAATATCTGCAGAAAATGTCACATCTTTTTCTTTTAAATCATGCAGATTTGGGCTGCTGTAACCTTTTTCATTGTAACACAATGCATAACTTGTTTCCACCATCTCATTAATAATACTGCATCCTGTTCTGCCATTATTTCCCATGTGGGATTCTCACTAACCAAAATTAGTGGAATTGCTTAGGGAAGGACAGTGATAAAATGGGATTCCCTCAACAGGGCCTTCTGGTTTTTTTTTCCCTTGTTTTTTCCTATTTATTCTGATCATGAAAGGCTACCTTTGTATGTGTTTCTCAGGCAGAGTGGAACATGTACTAAATTTTCACGGGACTATCTTTTTTTTTTTTTTTTTTTCAAAAACATTTCAAAATTGTTTGGAAAAAAAATAACATTTCACTTGTTCTTTTCTGAGGATTTCTCTTACTGGAAGTACTTAAATCTCTGAAGTAGAAGGAAGTGGAAGAAAGATCGAGATTACTTTCCCTTTTTTAAGCACAATTCAGGTCTTAGTATAGTAAGCACTGATATATCCCAGTAAATTGTTGGAAAAAGGCAGATAAAACAAGCAGTTGAAATGTTAGTAGTTCAAAAGGATTTGCCCTCATTTTGAAAGAGGGCTGCATTTTGACTCCTTTTCATAATGACCAGTCTTTCATGTTACTGAATGCTTCTGCTTTAACTCCTTTTTAAAAAGAGGATTATAAGTGGACCTTAAGACTGATGGAGGGTCTCAATCCTCAAAGACTCAGGAATTTGCCTGGGAAAGATTTTCTTTATCTCAAGAAGAAAGATCAGAATATGTTCTTAAATCACCACTGGCTTCACCAAGCAGCTGAACTGGTCATCAGTAGCATTTTTTGTTTTTTTGTTTTTTTGTTTTTTTCCAGATGAACTGTTTTTCATGGCCTTGTTCTCAGAAGAACTTCACCAGTAAAATAGAAGTGTCTGCCCAATGTCACTGCTGACCTGTGCATTTCTGAGCTGTTTTGATCAATTATGAATGCAATTATATCATGTGGGTGCTTGTGACAACAGGAAGCTGGGCTTGGTGACATGCCAGGTCCATTGCAGTCCTCTCTTCCTATCTTCCTAGTAATCTCACCCAGAATAAAAATCAGCAAATGTTAAGTAGGGTGCCTTGTGACCTGTCGCCGTTTCCTTTAGCGTCATTTAGAAGAGGTGCATCTTTCAAGTATAGGACAATACACAGGAGTCAGGCTGAAATTTTTAACATCAATTTGTGCTGTAGAAAACTATACTATACTATATGATCTAATAAAAGTGGATTTATTTACAGACTGAAGCTGAAAAAACTCCAGTTGTTACAGAATTTAATGATGCTGTCACTGTGAAGTAATCATTTTACTTTGTCCAAACTTGAAATATTTACGAAATTCTACATAATGGACGATTTTACAAAAGGTTTTAATAGCCTATGTATAAAATCTCTTGAGAGCTCTGATGCATTTCAAATGTGTTTTGCTTGTTCAAACCTAGATTCAAAGTAGAATCCTTTTTATTGAAAACATTTTTTCATTGATTAGTGATTGTCATTTCTGTTTCATTATTTTCTAGGCAGTGTTCACTGATTTGGAGATTCTTGCAGCAATTTTTGCCAGTGCAATACATGATGTAGATCATCCTGGGGTTTCAAACCAGTTTCTTATCAACACAAGTAAGTTTGATGTTCAGTGGTTTTCTCAAAAATCTGCTGTAAGATCTGCACATAGCACCTGAAAAATACAGAGTTCATTCCTTGTTTGCTTCTATCTGTAACTTTTATCAGTAAATAGATAGATTGTTATATTTTCAACTGGATATTATTTTGCATCTCTTGTAACCTTAGAAATAATTTACATGGTACCATCTAGCAAGAATTACTAAAACATGAACTATAAACTTGGCATTATTTCAATGTATTGGATGTGGTCTCTCCTGGAAATTAGTTGGTTTACATTAAGTAAAGCTGTAGGAGAAAAATGAAGGAAGATTAAATAAAAATCAAAAAGAAGGAAGACAACATTTTTGTGTTTATATTGGAAGCATATGATATGACCAAGGTTAGTCATACATTTTTAAGAAATTCAGAAAACAACTCTCTTTTTGGCAAAAGCACCCTGACTGCTGTGTTTGGTTTCTGATCTCCGCATACTCATGCCTTATGGACTCAATTTTCTCAGCCTGTCCCTGCAGACTATGGCAAACACGTTTGTTTTTTGTTTTTTTTTTTTTTTTTTTTTGATGAGTCTGTTGCTGGCATTCTATATGTGGAGGAAAAAAACCCTGATGAAATGAGACCCTAATGTCATCTCCAAATTTGAAACCCAGTGTACTTGTTTTGCATTCCTGAAGGCTGTTCTCTGCAGCATTGCATGAACCTCTTCCCCTTCTTTAATCTACTAGAAGAAAAACACTGTTAGCTCCACTGAACATGTTAATGACACATTTATTGAATGGCTTGTTGCCCCAGTGTAACCCGCTTTGATTTTATCTGGCATATGTTACTATTATAAATGGGTAGCACATTGTAGGTCAGTACAAATTCTGTCATACGGTGTTATTTCTTTTGACATCTGACAACTTCTCCTTTTACAATAACTGACTCAGAAGTACAAAAGTTGAAATAATACTAATAATCCAAGCACATAAAAAGAAAAAGATACAGAAATGGAAATACACCTAGGGTTGTGTATTTGACCCATCTAGTTGCACATTTATAGATACTCTCATTCCGGCACTTTGGTGAAACTTCTTGCACCAGTGCTAAAATTTCATAACCCCAAAAAAAGCAGTATAGTTAGAAAAAGGGAGCTCCTCTTCTGACTCATTGCTGCTGTATGTTCAAATAAGACCTCTGTTCCAGTTTAGCCTGCACCTAATTTTATTTGCCTTAATGGCCTGAGGGCCATCCTATGGTGAAATTCATTTTGATGACTCATCTGCATGGAGGAGAATTGGGATTAACTCTAGATTTCTGGTGTTTTATTGGTGACCAGTGCAGTTCAGCAGTGTGGTATAGGAAGAGAGTTGTCGTGGTTTGGCAGCCAACCACCATGCAGCCAATCTCTCTCCCTTCTCTTCCGACAATAAGAAGGGACAGAGAGCCAGGCTTGGGGTCGAGATAGGACTGGGATGGGGAAAAAATCCCCCTTTATGGGCACAAGCAAAAGGCAGACTCGTTAGGGGAAGAAAAAAAAGAACATACATTTATTACAGACACTAGCAACACATAACAGAGTAAGACAGTGAGAAACATTGCCACATCTTGGGAACACCTTCCCCCCACCCCTCCCTTCTTCCCGGGCTCAGCTCTGCTCCCGATATCTCTACCTCCTCCCCCAGTGGCGCAGGGGCAGGGAATGGGGGGGTGCAGTCAGTGTTGCTGCTTCTTCCATCTTCAGTGGGGGGAGCTTCTGGAACTTGTTCCCCCTGCTCCATAGTGATCCCCCTCTCCCAGGAGACAGTCCTCCACAAACTTTCTCTGACATGAGTTCCTCCCATGGGCCGCAGCATTTCCTTACCGTGCTCCAGTGTGGGTCACCAACTTTCTTCAACTGGAGTCCCTCCCACGGCTGCAGCCCTTCCCAAGCTGCTCCGGCGTGGGACACCCCCGCATGCTGCAATCCTCCCAGCGCTGAATTAGAGCAGCGGGGCTGCCTTTACCACAAGACTCCGGCCTTCTTGGGACTCAGCACCTTGATCAGCCAGGAGAGAAAACACAGGCCATAAATCAATGTCTGCTCCACCGTAGATCTTCATGGGTGGCAGGGGGGGCCGCCCTGCCGTCTCACCACAGGATACAGGGGGGTCTCTGCTCCGGCACACCTCCCCCCTCCTTTCTTCCTCCGTTCCTCCACTGACCTTGGTGTTCATGCAGCTGCAGCAACTCCTCCTCACAAGTCTGACTCCTCCTCACCATGTCCCTTCTTAAATACGTTATCACAGAGATGCAGCTGATTGGCTCGGATTTGGTGCAGAGGTGGGTCTGACGTGGAGCTGGGGGAGCTTCGAGAAGCTTCTCACAGGGGGCCACCCCTATAGCCCCCCTCCCCTGCCACCAAAAAACCCCCACCTCTTACTTAACCCAGGACAAGAGTGAATCAAGTTTTGTGCACAAAACAGTGTCTAATACCAAAATTCTTAACAGTGGGCATATGTAAGTAAAGTTTTTATTTGTTTATTTAATCAGAAATTGAGTATCAGGATATGTTGGTGGCTCTGAGGTTCTCAGGGAAACCACCAATTTGTTCAGGTTTAAGCAGGATAACTGGCCAGTTGAAGGAACCACTAGTGATACATAAAGCTTTCACTTTTAGGCAGACAGTTGAAATTCAGCTGTTAGGAGTGATTCTAATGCTGCTTATTTAGTGGATTAGAAGAAATGTTTTTCTCAATTCACCATTTGATAAAGAAGGCTCCTGTGTCAAACATGTAGCATCACTAACTGTAACTGCTGTTGCCAAGTTGACAGAGACAAAGGGATTTTATCCTTTTTGAGTTGTTCTGTGTACAAGGAAGAAACTGTAGGGACAGAGACAAAGACCATCTAATTTAGGTCTCTCAGTTTAGGTTCTAAATTTTCCTAACCTCTAGAAGATTTGCTTGCACCTAGTTTTGTTTTTCAGTGAACCTTACAATGTATTAAACATTTCACTAAGAAGTATGAGTATACATTTTTTAAAAGTATAATAGACGTAAAGTAGGTACGTATTTGCTGTATTTCAGCTTATTCTTTACAATTACTCACATGTGATATTTCTGAATATTATTTCCCTATTTAAGAATTTAAAGTCTGTTACACAGTTGTCTAAAAATCTGATCAGTCTTGAATACTATTAAAGAAGAAACAAATAGGGATTATATTAACGTCAGAAGAGATGCTTATTTGATCAATGTAACTCTATCCTTTCAGACAAATACTCTTGAAGCTTATAATGTGTTACAGAGATTACCAAGGGGTAACTTTCTTCCATTTTCACCTCCATTACAAAGTTGAGCACATTTTAGCTCTGTCTGTAGCTCCAGAGCTTCCAAAGTATTTTGGCACTGTTGAGTGCTTTGCAGTTGGGGCTCATCAGAAGGCTGTTTGAAAGGAACATAAACTAGTGCCTGTCATATTTGTAAGAAAAATAACAAGTAGGCAAGCTTTGTAAATGTTCTGTGAAAGATGAAAGAGAGATCATCTGACAAACTTGCTTTCCTTTTGCTGTTAGAATTTTACTGCCATCAGGATAAGGAAAGGTAGAGGAAGGGTTTCCCAATTCAAAAGATCGATGTATTTAAGACAGGAGGGGAGGACAGCACAAGAATGGATAATGAGACTAATGAAATTTGAAGAGCAGAGCTTCTGTAGGCACCCCACTGAGCCAGAGGGATTTTAAAACAAAGCTGCTGTAAAGAGGATAAAGAGGACAAATTGTATAATAGACTGACGTATGGTTAGATTTAGGATAGAACAGCTGTGATAAATAGAAGTTAATATCACACATGACAAGTGTGATTGAATAAAAAGTATTTTCTTTATGACATACTCATTTGCAAGCTGCGTCTTAAAATATATGCAAGCTGACTCTGTGGTATCCCCAGGTAGAAGATAAAGCTGTGCAGAAAATTGTCATAACTTGTTTTACTTGTCAGAGCTGGGTGTTCAGCCAGTCTAAGCAGACAAATGCAGACCTTGCATGTGTGCCTTAGCTCAAGCATTGATAGGAAGGTGTGTGTTACTCTCACAGCCATATGGAGTGTCCGAGTTAAGAATACTGCTGTTGGAGAGGGCATCATTACGGATGGCATCAGGCATTGAGCATGCTCAACTACAAGGCAGTAGGCAAGGCCACGGCTTGCGTTTTCAAGGCAGAGGACCTTCCAAGGAAACGACCAGAAGTGTAACTTACCATCCTGCCAGCCTTCTCTCAAAATACCCAGTTGTCATGGACTAATGACCCATAGGTCCAACTGGCTAGGCACCTGAGTGCCTTAGCTAAGTGGAGACGAATGTAGTTTGGAAACAAGGATGTGTGCTCTCTGCCTGACCTGCAGCAAAGCCTCAGCTGTGTATTCCCAGATCTGAGTGTTGGATAGCTGCAACTTGTCTTAAACAATGGAGTTCTAGTAGATGTGTTGTAGGGAAGCATGAGAAGAGAAAACATCAGAGTGTGTTTATGCATATAATATTTCCCATGTGACCTCATGCAGATATGAAAATGTATTCTGAAAAATACCTTCCTTGTATTTTTTTCTGCCGCTCCAGGCATGTTTACATGCTTCACTGTAAAGCATTTTCTTTATTTCCCTCAACATACTTTGCCCTGATTTGTTAAAATGTTCAGTCATTAATTCTGTAACTTTTGACACTGTGTGAACTACAGGAACTCTGTTTCTAAACTTTGATCTGAAAATCTTGTTTTTAATGTAATGAATTTGAAAAATCTTAAGGAATTTGATAGAAGCACAGGCTTTAGTAACATTCCGCCCTCCGATTGTTACTGCAGATTCTGAACTCGCCTTGATGTACAATGACTCATCAGTACTGGAGAATCATCACTTAGCTGTGGGCTTCAAACTGCTACAGGAAGAAAATTGTGACATTTTCCAAAATTTGACCAAAAAACAGAGGCAATCACTGAGGAAAATGGTCATTGACATTGTGAGTTCTGCTTGAGAGTCCCTCTTCTATAGTGCTAGCAAATTGAATAATAAAGCACAAAAGCATTTTCTGATAAATTACATATCATTAGACCCATAGCCAATGAAGTAAAAGTTTTAAATTTATCATGTCTTATCCAAACATGAATAGTGGGTTCTTTTCAGTTTCAATAAGCATCTATACCTTTTTAGAAGGTATACAATCCTGCTTCAAGATGTTTTTGTACTGCTATGTGTGCCATTTCACCATCACAGTTAGAAATTTGCTACTGCATTGGAGTTGAATTTAGGCTGATCATACCATTCTGAACAACCATTTTGTCATATTCTTAAAATAACCAAAATGAAAACTTACTATTTTGGACACCATTGACATACAGGACTCAGACTTCTATAGTGTATTCAGACACATGAGTTATGGGTTCCCTCAGAACTGTTTATGTGTTCAAAGGTTTTTTTAAAAATCAGTAGAATAATTTACATAATACTCGCTTGTTTCTTTCTTTCAAGGTACTTGCAACAGACATGTCTAAGCATATGAATCTATTGGCTGATTTAAAAACTATGGTTGAAACCAAAAAAGTGACCAGTTCTGGTGTCCTACTTCTTGATAACTATTCAGACAGGATTCAGGTAAGAAGATGGATCTGCAAATGGTCACTTGTGTTAACTTACATCTTGAATAACATTGGCCTGCCCATTCTCCAGCACGGGTTAGATCAACTGTCCGTTCTCACACCCTGACTCACTACATTCCCTCTATGCCCTCTTACGCTTTCTACCTGTGACATACTCCATTAGGTACTGAATGACTCTCAGAGACAGTAATGAGGTGCTAGACTACTTCTGGACTAAATGAGGCTTTGGCCTTCCCTTCAAATTATCAGCAACTGGTTGGTCTTTCTCTCAAAGATTTTCTGTCCTTTACACAGGCAGAAGCAGCAGAAGCGAGGTAGTTCATGGCTATTACTGCAAGTGTGAAAAACACCCAAGCACATAAGTTTTTGCTGTTTAGAATAAATCTTGCACTACTTGTGTTTTCCAGATTCTGTTTCACAGCCACCAAAAGTGTAAATGGAAAAGGAGCTGTTTTTCTCAAGTGTAATAACACTGCAGGTGTTCAATCTATTTTAGGTTCTTCAGAACATGGTGCACTGTGCAGATCTAAGCAATCCAACCAAGCCACTCCATCTCTACCGTCAATGGACAGACAGAATAATGGAGGAATTTTTCCGTCAGGGAGATCGGGAAAGAGAGAGGGGAATGGAGATAAGTCCGATGTGTGATAAGCACAATGCATCTGTAGAAAAATCACAGGTAATGGATTTGAGTAGGCAGTTAAATAACACAGTATGACATTTTAACAGAAAAAGATGGTCCATAGCCATGTTTTGATTAATTTTTGAATGCACTATTTTTTTTCCTCCTAGGTAGTTAATTCAGCTGCTGAGTAGTAGTGAGGGTAGCTGAGATTTTGACTGTGAAAACATGACAGTGTGTTTCCTGAAGGGATTCCATCGCTGTCGTGACCTGCAATGTAGGATACATGTCAAAAGAGTATTGTACAGCTGCTCATTAGGATTTCCTTCAAAAGCAGAATTAAATATAAAGCAGCTGTTTGGCTCACTCAGTGCAGTGGAGTTGTTTGGAATGAACAGTTAATTTGAAAATAAATAGTTTCCAAGTCCTTATCCAATATCCTGAATCAGACTTTTGAAATGTAAAAGGCCCCACTTACTACATGAAAGATCATGGTTTCCTTTCAGCCACCTTTCAGGGTAGTGTATCTAGTGTCTCTCACTAGTGTTATATGTCTTACACTTTGTGTAGGCATAGTTATATATTTCTTTGTGAATAAGAGCTCATCCTAATTTTGTATTATTTGAAACAGGTGGGTTTTATAGACTACATTGTTCATCCTCTGTGGGAGACATGGGCAGATCTTGTTCACCCAGATGCCCAGGATATCTTAGATACACTGGAGGACAATCGAGAATGGTACCAGAGCACAATCCCTCAAAGTCCCTCTCCTGCACCTGATGATCAGGAAGAGGGTAGGCAGGGCCAAACTGAAAAATTCCAGTTCGAACTAACACTGGAGGAAGATGGTGAGTCAGACACTGAAAAGGACAGTGGAAGTCAAGTGGAAGAAGATACCAGCTGCAGCGACTCCAAGACTCTTTGCACACAGGATTCAGAATCCACTGAAATTCCTCTTGATGAGCAAGTAGGAGAAGAAGTAGAAGAGGAGGACAACCAGACAGAACCATGTGTGGTAGAAGAACATTGTCCTGACACGTAACAATGAAGACACAGTCTCTTATTCAATCTTGCCCTCTCCCTTTCTTTAACTCTTTCTCTCTGATTTCTTTTTGGGTTTTGGATTTTTTTTTTTTTTTTTTGATTAGGTAATGGTTTCCAAGGTGTACGTCATATGCTATAACCATGGTCACAACTCTCTGTCTTCTGCCAGGATGGTTGTTGATCAAAACTGACCTTGATGACTCAGTTTGGCACTCAGGAATATTGTAACCAGAATTTTCACCTCCATGACATCAGAAAGCAGGGGGGAGAACATCCATAAGCTACGCTTTGATAAGCTCTCCACTTGGCATATTTGATTAAATAAAGCAAATGTTTTCAGAGGAATACCACCTGCCAACAAAATGCTGGTATACTTTGATAGTTTTTGAGTTAATTGTATTTCACAGAGTATTAGATGATGTTCATCATGAGAGGAAACAGACAGAAAATAAACTGAGGTTCCTACTGGAAAACAAATGCACATAAATGATGGGACACAACATGATTTTGTTACCAATAGGAAGATAAGCTGTGGAAATTGCATAATTTTGTGATTTCAGTTCTTCCTATTGTGTAACAAAAAAGCGTGACCCAGTGGGTTGCACTAACCTCTGCATTTCATATAGTATGTGACAGAAAGATCTTTTGTAGAGCTTACTTTTATTATTAAATGTACCAAGGTACTATATTTCAAGAAAACCACTTTCAGACTTCATCTGCAACTGGTTATTTTTTTTTCCAAAGAGAAACTTGTAAGTTTTCAGTACAAATCTGTGCTACACTGGATAATACTTCTAGGGTTTTTTTCCTTTCCTTCTTTTTTTTTTGCACCTTAGACTATTATGGTAATATTGAGCTGTAAAAGTCTATTATTTTATCTATTAGTGAGTTCAATTAATATCATTGTTACATAAAACTCCTTCAGTATGATAGCTTTTTTGTTATTTTTTAATCACGGTTTTTCCCAAACGTATTAGAAGAACTTACACTGTGCTTTTGCCCTCATGCTGGCCTCATCCTGGCAATTCAATCTTAATCCAAGAGGTGGTCCCACTAAGCCGGCTGGGACCACTAAGATTAGGATTTGCAAGTAGAGCCTGTAAGAAAGGTAGATGAATTGTCATCTTAATACAAAAGCATTTCAGCTGGACAGGGTGCTGGGCACTCTTGTCTAGAGGATGCATTTAACAAGAAAGGTTGGACCAGGTGATCATTGAGGTCCCTTCCAACCTGGTATTCTGTGACTCTCTGAAAAGCCGTTCCTCTGCTATACTAATAAAATTTGTCCCTCTGAAACATGGCTTCCATACCATTTTTGGCTGGGACATATAGACTGCTAAATCAGAACAGGCTAATACAATGTATGGAATATTTGTTCTGGTGAAAAAAGCATTAGTGTAGTATTTCCAATTTTGAGTCTCCTAACTTTTTATCTGTGTCAGCTATCTAGTTAAACTATTTGCTAATCAGAGATGTGTACAATATACAAATAATGATCACCATTTTTTTTTCCATGTCTTTGTTGCAAGAAGAGCCAGGTCAGTCTTTTCTTTTTATATTTTTAAGTAAATGAGCAATGCCTCATGAGAATTATAGTTTACTCCACATTATTTCAATCTCAGATCTTTTAATCCTTTATCCAGTTTGTGCTGAGGGAATCCTGCTTTTCAGTTGATTGGTCCAGCAAGCTTCTGGAACTTGGAAAATTAAAGGGAGGTAGTAGTTCATATTTGTCATTTTCTAGTCCTGTTGTTTGGTCACATGAAAGAATAAGGAATTTTATTTCCTCCATTTTACTTTTTGTTAAAATTGTAGTTTTGAGCGTAGAAGATGGGAAATAGTTGCCTAGGGAAGCTAGCAGACTCCCACTCTGTAAAATTCTGGTAAAATGACAATAGCAAGATGATTTCTTAACAAAAGAAGATAGCAAGAGTCATTATTTCCCCTTTAGATTCATTTTGTAGCAGATTTGCAGATATGAATACAGGGGTTTATTTAAGTGTCTGAGATCTAGAATAAAAACATGTTAACAATATTTCATATAATATTAATAATTCAGCTTTTAAATGCATTTTGAATTCTTTAATATCTGGGTCATAGTTTTCTTTACCTTTAGCCCTCACAGGGCCTTAGCATAGAAGATGCTGAAGAAGGAAAGAGAATGAAGAGAACTCATGGTTTTTACTTTCAGTTTTTGACTCTCTTTTGTTCGTCATTTCTTCCTGAACCTGATCCATCTAAAAATCCTTTCAGTCCCCAAGAGTGCCTGGAACCTTAATACTGGAAAAGCAATATAAATTCCAAAATAACCAATAGGGACCTGAAAAGGTTTTGTATCTGCACTAATTGAAAGTGAATGAGAAGAATAACACCATATTGTGAGATATATACCCATACATGTGGACAATCAAATAATAGAAAATAATATAATTTCTTAGAGCTGGGGATACAATGCACTGTACAATCTTTTTTTTTCCTCTTTTGCCAAAGTGTGTTTTAGCATTGCACACTGCTTTAAAACAATACAATTTACAAGTGGCTTTATGTGTTCTGAATATTTTTGCCATAAGAAAATGCAGTGAGTGGGTATTCAGTGGGGGGGGGGAAAGAAAATTCATCTTGCTTATAACTACATTTTAGCTTGCAAGTTACTGTACTCAATAATGCTGTATTTGAATTGTTAAATTGTTTTGTGTCATTAAAAAACAAAGATGAAAGAATATAGATAGAACAAATAGCATTCAGAAGTTTAAAAAACTTTCATGAAATTGATTTTACAGAAAGCTTTGACAGTTCTTTTCCAATGCATTATTTATTTTATTTGTGCCATGCATTTTTCTCACCAAATGACCTTACCTGTAATACAGTCTTGTTTGTCTCTGTTTACAACCATGTATTTATTGTAATGTACATACTGTAATGTTAATTGTAAATTATCAGTTCTTATTATAACATCACCCTTGTCAGGGTGGTGTTGCTATATTTGGAAACTCTTGGTGAGAGAATGATTATTGTGTATACATATTCCTTGTACATTTTTTCTCCTGTAATATATTCAGTGTCACCTTAGAGCTTGGTTATGGAAGAGTCAAGAAAAGTATAAAATACATAAAGATATATCGAGAAAAAAAGCTGCAGGTCTTTGGTCCCAGGGCTGTGCCTTAACTTTAAACAATATTTTCTTCTGGCTTGCTGCATTTGGAAGTAAGGTAGCTGTGAGGCTAGGGCTGGGCATTTTTACCATATTTTTAGTTGCTGACTGGTGAAGTTACTTGTATGAGCTAATATGCATGATACTACACCAAGCTTTCATTCGTGACCGTGCTGAAAGTTCAAGCTTTTCCAGACTTCTGGCAATGTAATTGTGTTGCCTCTCTGATTATCTTTTTACAGGCTATCACCAGAAATTATTGCAGCCATTTTTTTCTCCTAAAAAAATATAAAGTTGATGCCGTATTTCAGTACCAAATTGCATTGAAACAGCTTTGGAAAGCATCTCTAATAAGCATTTGATTTTAATGCCTATGCGGAAATGGAGTAATAGGAATTAAAAGGGTATAACTCATACACTTTTAAAATGGTCTGTAATATCGCTTCTTTATTTAGTAGCACAAATTAACACTGTATAAGCAGAATCCACAAAGTAGGACAAAAGGCAGCTTTAACCTTGGAAATGCTTTCCAACACCACTATTATTGTTAGAAGCAGCCAAAATCTTATTTTATATAGATGTATCAAAGGCTTTTTGCACATGTGTATAGCATGCACTAGATCTACAGGACAGTGGTAAACCTTTAGATCTTTTAATAACACTAGTATTAGGTTTGCAGGTTGGACTGAGCATCTCTTGCTGTTTGACTTGCCACATTGCTCCAAGCTACTTAGAGCTGCTATCAGTGAATTTGCCAGAGTGAGGTAAATACCTCTCCTCCATTCCAGTGGTGCCCAGCCCTTGTAGAATGTGACTAATTTGTGAAAGGAGAGATTCTTTTTCAAGGAAAAACAGAGCCTCCTTTTTGACACAAACTGTAGATTTTAGCAGCCCTGGCCCAAAGGAAATCGGTTGCTTTTGTTTTAATCGATATAAAAGGGACACCGTAACAACAGAGATCCTGAACATGTTTTTGTTATTGTTTTAATTTGATTTTTTTCTTTGGTTATGTCTTGAGAGTGGCAACTTGTGTGAACATTGCACATGACTATTCTTTCACTGGTTTCTTAGCCTCTCTTGCAGCCTAGGGGATAGTATTGTACATCAATACCTTCATACAAAATTTTATATGCAATGGAAATAAAAGCATGGGTTGATTCTGCCTAGTTACTGTATTTGATTTTCTTTTGCAAGTTAATTTTTTTTACATAATTCCCACAGCTGTGACATCTTAAGAGAAAGCATATTTTCAGAATAACTTGATTACCGTATTTTTGATGTCATAGTGTTTTGCATAGATAATACAAAATAAAAGTGGGGGCAAATCAGAAAAGTCAATCAAATGTGGTATTTCATAAAGAATTCTAACCCACAAAGGTGCTATACAGATGTATAGAAAGGCGCTCAATCCCAGTTTTCAGGAAATTTTACCATGGGCTGCAGTGGCTAAAGCAGCCTAACCTGAGAAAATAAGCCTTCAGCTTTAAAGAAACTAGAAGGCCACAGATCGCCTAGAGGAGCAATATGCTGGGATACCACAAAGAAAAAAGAAAAAGAGTACCATAGTTAAATATTAACCAGAGAATCTCAGCTCTAAATGGATGATTAGAAGGCACTGGTTTTTAAAACAAAATTCGTAAGTGACAGCTGTTGCCTTGAAGAAGAAATGTTGTCTTAATGCAGGTCCAGCTCTTGAAGTGGCTTTCATGCACCTCTCCTTGATCAGAGTGAGGGTTTTATTGTTTGGGGGTGGTTTGTTTGTTTAACTGAAAATAGTTTCTGATTGAATACAAAAGAATTCCAAGTCCATTTTTTCCTTACGTCTTAAATCCTTCTTTGGGTTTGGGGTTAATCTGCAAGGAGTACCAATCCCTAGGACTCCTTTTTAACCCTCCCTCTGTGGCAGAAGAGGCTGGGAAAGTGCTGTGCGGGGAAGATGCAGGATGCTGCGCTCCAGGACGGGGCGGATGAACCAGAAGGTGCCTGTGTCTCTGGGCAGGCTCATCCTCACACGTTCCCAGCAGCTCTCATGGGGACATGGTTCTCCTATATCCTGGCTGTTACAGAGGGAAGCAGGAATCCCAAATTCTCGTTGGCACTATTAAAACCTTTTGAGTAAGGAGCTCAGGTACCACCGCTGTGCACGTGGTGAGCCTGAAGCTGGCAGAATTAGCCCACTGCTTCCTCCATGCTCTGGCAGCACTTTGTCAGTCTCTGCATGGCAACAATGCGTTAAAATAGGCAAGTTTCAGAGCAAAACCAAAGTGGATCCCCTGTTTCGCTGCAGCCAGCTGCTACTAAAGGAGATGAATGTGGTTTTGAGCAAATGACTCCTCTATTTCCTAATGAGACAAATAGTCTGAATAGTTGCAGCTTCCTTTGCTTGATCTCTCTGCTGCATTGAAAACAAAAGTCACAGCTGCTAGTACACAGTGTTTACTGGGATGACCAGCCCAATTTCTCTACCAGCTGTGAATAATTTTGCTTAGCTTTTCCAGAAAAAAAAAAACAAAACAAAACCCAAACAAACACAAAATTTCAAAGATGTTATAAAAGCTTTTAGTTAGTTCAATTTAGTTTAACCTGTGGGGTAGAGAAAATCTCCAGCTTTTTCCTGTCAAACTGGTTGAGAAGTCTGCAAAAGTAATAAAGGGGAATAGGAAGTCCAAACATAAATTGGAGTTACAAACTGGGAGCAAGACCTGAACAGGGAGAAATGCCCTCCTACTAAAATCTCATCTCGTCAAAGGCAGTCCCATGGCTTGGGTATGGACATTAGGAGAACTGATGAGTCTGTCTTAGTTCTCCAGGTACAAAGCTGTATATTTTTTTCCTTCTCACAAAGCAAATATTTTCAGGTCCTCAGAGTTGTGGTAGTAAGAACTGCATATGTATTTAAGATGGATGTTTAGAAAGTAAAAAAGTTTTTGATACAATGCAGAGTTTAGCACAGCTTCAAAGACTAAAAATGCACGATGACTATCTCTGCTAAGGAGGCCTTTAGCATGAGAGGAGGATGACAACACCATACCTGGGTAAACAGACCTTAGTGAGAGAGAGAGATTCAGAACGTGTGGCCCCAGATATCATTAACTGTCTAGTGCTGATGAGCTGTGCTGACAGCAAATGCAGATCAAAAATTCAGTGGTCACATTGCTTGCTCAGTCCTTCTCCAGCATCCATGGAGTTCAGATGCCTACGCTATCGGCATCTCTAATATGCAGCAGAGACCATTGTTCATCTGAGGAAGGCTGAAAAAGAAAATACAGGTTATGCAGTATGTAACAATCAAAGTACAGTTGGCTCATGTGTTGTACGTATGTAGGACCAGGCCTATGGCAAATGCCAGTGAACCATCATTACGTGGGACAAGACAGAAGCAGTTAAAGGTGGCTTTAAAACTTCAGCACTTTCTGATAGTTGAAACTCTCCAGAAAACTAATACCCCAAATCTCTTACCAAGTTTTCAAAACCTTGACTAGCTGCAGCATTGACCAAACTAAGAGCTGTGCATACCCCATTGCAGTCTCAGACTGAGGTTAGCAACTTACACTGGCTGTCCTGACCGCAGCCAGGGGTAGACGTCCTGAACCGTGGTTTTGGTTGAAGCATGATACAAAGCCTACTTGATTCAAGGGATCACTTGTGTGCAGAGACACAGAGCAGTGCCCCTCCTCTGATGAAAAGAGCAGCACCAGCTGATGTAGAGCTGCCTTATCCAGGTTGCTGTGGAGATCTGCCGGTACCTGGGTTTATTACAGAGCCGGACATAAAGCAGTTCTTGGTTTTAGGATCTTTGCCGTGATGTGGAAAGAGAACAGAAGCACTCTGTGGAGTTCTAAAATTGTGTATGTTTGTTTATTGCACATACCACAAAGACAAAACTTACATGAACAAAGAAGCAGCCCTAGCCCTGTTTCAAAGCAACCTTGCTTGCTCTCTTGCTTTCTCTCATTTCTTTCCATAACCTGAAGTAGTATGTCTCTAATAATCGCATGCATCTGGGAATAAAGAATGTGGAACACATTTATCAGGTGAGAGACTATCAAGGAATCAGTGATACAGCATGTGTGCAATGATGCTGTGATGATGGCTGCTGCAGAGAAATGTCCCTTACAAAGCTGTGCCTGTAAAAGGACTAAAAAAATACTTGAGAAGCAGTAAATGGGAGACTACTTAAACAACATTTAGTATTGCTGAGGATGTTATTGGAATCATGGTGTTCAGGTTTGGTAGAGATGCTTGGAGATGCAGTTTGAAGGGGAAAAAAAAATTGCAGTGGAAAAATAAGTTAACAACCTGGAAACTTGTTGTCTAGTGGGATGCAAGGAATATGACCTATTTATCTTACTCAAGAGAAGGTTAAGATACGGTTTGATCGTGTAGGAACAGAAGTGTGGTAGTCCCTCAGTCCATGCTTTTGTCTAGCAGGCAAAGTCAGCTGCCAGCAAGAGAGCCACCTCACTGGAAACTGACATGCAACAAACTCAGTCTGCAGGACAGAGCAGCTGTGTCATCTGGTTTCATTCACTCTTTGTGCTTGCAGGTACATCCCTGGGGACACACCACCATTACAAGTGAGCAATGTGCTGTGTGTGTTGGGAGCCACACATGTTGCTTAGTGCCACAGGTCCTAACCCTAAAGGTGTTTAATGATAAGTGCAATTCACTTTGATTTAGCTTTGCTTGAGAATGGGCTGGTTCTTTGTGCAAATGATGACATGGAGGTGTGGGGTGAAGGAGAGGGAAGTGCTCTTTGGAAGGGCTTTTTCTATTAGAGTAATTCTCAAACCATAAAGCAATAGGGCTATTTATTACAATATAGCAAAATATTTTCTTCGCAGGCAAAAAGCCTTCTGTCTCTAGTAACAGTCTCCAGTCTGAGCTAATATTCTCATTTAACCTTCTGCATTGTTTGGCTCCCTCCTCACATGCCTGTAGGAGGGAAAGGACCCCACTGGATTTAGGACTGCTGGCAGTCATGTCCCTCCTAATGCCAGTGTGGGGTCCTGGGCCTGTGAACCATGCAGGGAGGGGAGATGGGGCTGCAGTGCTCCAACCACTATGTTGTGCTGTTCACAGGAGCGGTTGTGGGTCACCCTGCCTTAGCAGCATGATGTTCCTCAGCTGAACTGAGACAGTGGGATGTAGTTGCACATGTGCCTCCCCCTATTTTTTAAATGAGCCCAGCCCACATCAGTCAGGCTGCCAGTTTGGTGAAGACATCCAAAAAGACCTGTCTGGTCTGCTTCTTTCTTCTGCTCTTTTTTGCAACATATATTTAGATTTGGGTTGCCTTCTCCTCCCATTGTCATGTAGCTGAGTTTGATGGGGTTGGTTTATTGTGCTGGCCAATGCGGCTGTGTCTGGCCAGTGGAGAAGACATCTCTGTCCCAGGAAGGGATGGGTGCAGTTCATGGAGGCAAGGTCCTGCTTTCTGCTCTGGCAGTTTTCCTAAGCACAGATGTGTGTGTGTGTGCATTTTCAAACATCTCTCACTTCCATTTACATTGAATAACTTTGCACTTGGGTGGTCTCACCAGCTCCTGGAGGTTGTTCTTCACGTACCACTCTATCCCCATCCCTAAGGAAGGCAGTTACATCTCTTACTCAAGAGCTGTGAAGCCTCCCTCATGCACTCAGTGCTTAGACACTCCCACAAACAATAATGGGAGGACAGCCTGGCCCCTTCCCACAGTTTCTTGCTCTACAGGTGACACCATGCCAAAATCCCTGCAGGAGGGAACACTGTGCTGCCAGTGCTGAAAGAAACTCTCCCTGGATAGCAGGAGAGGAAAGTCTTGCAGCGTATCCAGAGACGTGCTAGAACACTGTGCTGGGCTGTGTGATGATGTGTGGCATGACAGTGTCCCACCTTGCACCCTCCCAGGGGCTCCTCCTCAGTGGGAGATGAACACTCACTGTAGGACAGCCATGCATTTCTGTAAGTCACGGAGCTTACAAGGCCAGTTTTCTTACACTATGGTGTTTTTTCTTACGTTGTAAGATCCCGGCTGAGCTTACCCCTGCACGGGTAGATAAACACCTGGTGTTCTTCTCCTCCAACTGGCTGCTTATTTTCCTGAAACTACTAGAAACTTAGCCCCTTAAGTGTGGTACAATTTGGCTACAGGTTCAGAAGTTAGAGGACAGACATGCAGGGAGC